ATTTCCTGTGTTAAATATGCTCATTGTCTAATATGGCAATGAATTATTTTCCCCAAAATTATTGTGAAGGCATTTTGAAATATTTCAAGCTTGTAGAATCTAATATTTTAAGTGTTACTCACAAAATTAGTGCAAATTATAGGAAACTAATGATGTGAAAAGGCTATCAGACTTTCCTACTGCTAGAACATTTGCATGAATAGCATCCTGACATATTTTTTTTTTTAATTATGATCTTCCTCTCCTCCAAGTCCCAGTTAGGGTTTGTAGTCCTAGGTGCGCAGTTTGGGAAGCACCAGCCACGCACACATCTGCTTCCAGACCCAATCTACAGGGTCACTCTGGGAAACAATTGAGACGTTAGGCAGTCTTCGTACACACTCTACACTTTTTTTCTATTTCTGTGGTATTTGTGAGGTATTTTTTCCCAATTCAGAACCTTACGTCTAGATATAAGTGAGTCTGCTCCCTGCACAAGGAATTTGAGAACGGCAAATTTTTCATATCCATTCTCCGTAGAGTGGTGATCCACCTCCACGTAATAATGTGACTGCATTTCCAACAAGCACTGGCACTTGGTACAATGTTGCAGCTTTAACTGGTGGATTCTTCCTTTCCTCTAGGAGCAGACAGCGTTGTCTATCTTTCTGTGGAAGGGCTGGTATCATCTGTGCAAGAAAGCATCAAGGCAAGACAAGAGAGTGAGAACAGGCTTAAGCCCCAGAAATCACGTGCTGGCAAGATTGGTCATTGCATAGCGTGTCTCACTGGAGAGTATCCTGTAGAGCTGGAATGGTGAATTTCCAGTGGATGGACACCAGTCCATCTGCTGTTGAATGTACCTTTTTCAAAGATGCCTCTTTGCCAATAGCCTTCTTACGTTTAGGTGGTATGGAAAGCTTATTACAGATAACTAATTACTGTTACTAAAATACATCTTTACTGTAAAGACTTACAGAAAGTCCAATGTGCTGATGAAAACAATGTAAGCAGATTAAAATGCAAAATCATATAGTTTTGATGCACAGTTGTGCCTTCTATTTTCTCATAAAGTATTATAAAAACCAAAGGTTTTTTAATCATGTAGCAGTCCCAGAGTTGTTTGTATCGGTCTTGCCCTGGAAGTGAGATACCCCTGTTAGACTTGTTCACAAAGTACAAATCATCAGTTGTGTGCAAAAGTATGTAAAGTTTGCTTTTCTCTTTAGGAAAAATAACCGATTCTGAAGACTCAGAGGGCTTCCTTAGCAGTTCTTGCTTAAACTTTTTAAGGACAGAAGTGCCTTAATTTTTGAATATATAGCTAAATAACCTTTTTTAAACAAAGCCCTTTTAAAAACTAATTATTCAGATTCTATGAATGTCTAGCATGTAATCTTAAAAACAGAAGACTCAGGGAAATGCTCAGCCAAAAACCCTCTTAGTTTTACAGATTCAAAATTACGCTTTTGAAGTCCAGTGTAATTACATTATCTTTGTGTACTTTTATCAGTTGCCAATAGAATGTGGAAGGAGAAAAATACTTGCCACTGCTATTTTTTTTCCTCATATCTTGTTTTCTTCAGATAAGTCCTGACAACTTACTGAGTCTGAGCTAATGCTCAGTGTGCTTTTCATCTGTCAACATCCTAAATAAACTGAAAAATAAAGTAACTTTTGGCTGACAGTAAATACAATGTATCAACTGAAGATTATTGTTTTGAGTATAGTCTTATTTAGCTACGTTACTTTTGTTAAATGTAATGTTAAAAAAAAGGTTCTGAAGAGCTATTGAATAAATAGTATTTTTTAATTTGTCACAATTACAGTTACTTGTATACGAGACGGGGACTTAGACAACGAACCACTAGCAGGAAATGGAAATGCACCTTTTGAAAACTACCACAAATGTACGCACAATTGTAAAGATATTTTGTATACCTCAGTTTTTTCACTGAATACCAGCAACTTAATTTTAGATTTTCTATTTAATACTGTGTATTTTGGCCTTATAATCGTTTGTGACACCGTTAGCAAAAAAAAACCCAAACAAAAAACTAACAACAAAAAAGTTTATGAGTTTTTTTCCTCCCCATCACCTTCCACATACTTGAGTTACAGCACTGGTGATTAAATATAAAAGGGAGCTATCTTGAGTGGGCTTTGTAGCAACTGTGCCTGATAGACAATCACAAAACAAAAGCCTCAATTCAAGAAACTATGTAAATACATTTAAGGAAGTCATGACAGTCTTGTGCAGGCTCTCTGTGGAACCAAAACCTACTTGCAGTTTATGGGAGAATCTAGATTTTCCTAAGAATTGAGCTCTTACTGTGTTTTCTTCACCAAAACCCAGACTGGAAATATCACAAGATGCACATAGATCTAATGTCTAATTAACAAGTTTGTTTGTTCTATGAAAGAATGGTTAGTTACCCTGGGCAGTAATCTGAGCAAAACCAGAGCAGGGTGAAGTCACTCTGACCATCCCCTCCCATTTTAACCACAGAGAAGTAGCAAAAAACAGAAAAACTGTCACTGATCTTTTTTCCTCTTTCTCCTTTCCTGCCCTCAAAAAGCCAATAATTTTTAAAAGGGATAAGTCAAGCTTAGGTTACGGCTTAGCTTACAAATATGTATGAGAAGCCCTTTCTACCCAAGATAAAAACTTAGGTGAACAGTTTAACAAGATTGCAAGCATAAGTCTTATCGATTTATCTGAAATTTTCTATAGAACAGACTATAAATTCAACTTGTGCAAATACTTTTAAAATATGTTTTCAACAAAACTGGTATTTCTGAAGTCTGGTAATAACAGCTTGAATGTGATTTGAACATTAATTCTGATTTCAGTAAAATGAGTTTCAATGCTTTTTTCCCCTTCATGTGAAATGATATGGTCTGCTACTGTAAGCACTGTAATCTCTAGAGGTATTTCATGCCTAATCTTTAGTGCCTGTTTTGCAAAACTCTCAAGTTAAAAGAGAGATCCTCCTCAAATATAATTTTACTCACTGACTTCTGGATTTATGCTTCAGGTCACCAGGCCTTTTTTAATCACATACAACAGACACACACACGTAAGGAGTATGTCAAGGGAGAAAACTACTCTGGTTTTAGGTGTCGCTATTTGTATTATTTTAATGTTTTACTGTGAAGCTGTTTCTGCTGTATTACCAATGTGCCAAATTATCATTTGTAAAACGTGACAGGACCACAGAAAGCTGATGTCTAACTTCTCCCCTGCATCTCATTAAAAACGGTTATGAACTGGTCTCTCTCTCTCTCTCTTCACTGCTCTCGCCAGCACCACGCGGCCCAGGTTTCACAGAACGACAGAAGGGTTTGGGTTGGAAGGGACCTTAAAGCTCATCTAGTTCCACCCCTGTACGGTCAGGGGCAGCTCCCACTAGACCAGGCGGCTCCAAGCCATCCAGCCTGGCCTTGAGCACTCAGCGATGGGACCTCCACGGCTTTTCTGGGCAACCTGTTCCAGTGTCTCACCCCCCTCTTTAATAAAGCCACCTGGAAAGCACCTCGAAGCTGCAGAGACCCATCGCGTCTCTTGCACTGAACCCGCCTCCCCCGCACACCCCGCACACC